ACGGCTGACATTAACAAGGGTGAATACATTTATAATGAGAATATCTGTACGCACTTTTGATCGTATATTTGCCTTTAGAATTTCTTTTACTTGACTGAGTTCAAGAAGTACGCTCTCTCTTTTTGTTGAAGTAGTAGCTGATTCCATCACATTCTTGAACACTTCTTTTAGATTTTGCAGCCCGTAGGTCCCAACAATCCTGTATAGGGCAAGGTTTCAAATCAGCAATTTGCTGCCTGTTTTTAATTTAAGAACACTTTACTAATTACCCTTATGTTATGTTTGCTATGGAGTGTTAGATAGGACTCAACAGTATTTATAGAAGAAAAAGACTTATTCATTATATTGTTAGTATTGCATACTAAACATGCATTTCTAAATTAGATGGTTATCAAGGACAAACGAACCTTTTGTTCATTTGCAGACTAGTGTGACTGAGACAAGTGCCCCGGAACTTGCCAAGCTGCTTTATTGGCTTATGATGGTTGGTTATAGTATTAGGAACATTGAAGTTCGCTTTGATATGGAAAGGGTACTCGGTGCAACACCAAAGCTAGCAGAGCTACCTCCAGGCGAGAACATTTAGGCGCCCAATTGGAGCTTTGCGTCTTCTAGGATGAGAACATTTAGGCGATAACATTGTGAGGGCATTGTTTTTGTTGGTGACATTACTACTTTTTATAAGCTGTTCAGGTGACTGTTATGGAGAATTGACTGCTAGAGGGAAAGCTTTTGGATTTTCTTTCCTTCTGTTTTAGTTGAAATTTACATTGATAAGAACTACCAAAACTGTACCAGAAATTGAACTACGTTAAATCTTGCTCAATTCATCTTCAAAGCTTTGTTTTTAATTTAGTTTGTCTAAATTTGGATGAATAAACTATTGCATACAAAAATTCTGGGACAAAAATCGGTTCAATTGAGAGCTAGCTGAACTTGCGTGAGTCGATCAGTTGTCTAGCTCAATCATATTTAAGCAACGTAGCCAAACAATCTTATTAATCGAAAACATTTTATCAAAAATTGACATTAAATTNTCGAAAACATTTTATCAAAAATTGACATTAAATTGTTTTTTTACATGAAAATAACATTAATGAGGCCAGATTTCGTATTAAAATTATACTAATTAACCGTTGAATATGAAAACTAATATGATTTACAATTGCCAAGGATATAAAATGCTTAAACTGAAACAATGATACAAGCTGTATGAGCAAAAAAGGGTTCAAACGTTGGGGACGGCACGTGCAATTATATTTCCTAACCATTCGTCGTTTAGAGGTATTAGAGCGTGTTTTACGTAGTGAAGTATATGTTATGTGAAGTGTGTTAAAAGTAAAGTAAGATATTTGTCGTTTGAGTGTGATTGAAGTAAAGCACAATTGAAGTAAAGCAGAAAGATATTTGACGAATTACTGTAACATATAGTATAATGCTTTGCCTTGGAGTCAAATGTGTAAGATTTGTGAAGCTTATGATGTAAGGTTTAGATTTAGGATTTCTATAAATAGAATCCTTGTGTGTTCGTTGTAAATGAGATCCAATCAAGTAAAGCCAAGTTATCCAATACTGAGACTCTCGTAGCATTTTCCATCTATAATAATATCAATTGTTTCAATTTGTATTTAAGATTACTTGCATTTTGATCCCGTTTTAATATCATCTGTGATTATAACCATGATATCACAGCCATATCTAAAAAATTCTTGTGTTTCTAGCCTTTACGGTAGCTTAAGATTTTCCTTCTTTCTATTTCCTCTACCGGTTCAAAGTGCCATGTTCATCTCCTACTCTTGACTATATATTGAAAGAATATGCTATGTGGTTGTATTGAACAAGGATGAGTTGAGATTCGTTGTTCAATTTTTACTGCCCACTCAATTAATCGTTGATGTATCATTTTTAAATTAACACATCATCTCAAATTTACCCTCATTAATTTCACCACTAACCCACCAAATTGATAACATGTTATGTAAAATAATGTGACAATAATTTGGACAGGAAATCTTAACTACATGAAGATATGACTAGTGCTACAATTTCTTTTTCCTCCGGTTCGTCAATTTGGATAGCAGATCTTAACTCCATGAAGATATGACTAATTGATTGAGTGGACAACAATTTGGACAATATAAGTTTTTATACTCTAAAGTAGATTACTTATTTGAAGGTACTTGGATGAAGATAGCAAAATAGCAATCATAGATATCCCTTTTAAAATTCATATAAAGCCTCCACAAAACCGATACCTATAATATATTAAATATCGTATCAAGTGAGAATAATTTTCTGGATTATTTTAGTCCTACTACAATTTAATTATTTCAATAATACATCACTTTTCATTTTCAATATATATTTAATTGAATATTAATTATTAAACATGTACTGAAATAAATAATTGAATTGTATGAGAAAAATCAAATTGATTCATAAACATTGAATTTAATTAATTTGAATAAATGAATTTAGAAAAAGAATAATGTATATACATTTAAAAAGGGAGTGTAAGTGAACCAACATGAAATTTAATTAATTTAAATAAATAGATGTAGAAAAATAATAATTTATATACATATAAATAAATGGAGTGTACATAAACCAACTTGTAATTTAATTAATTTGAATCAATGAAAATAGAAAAATAATAATTTATATACATTTAGACAAATAGAGTTATATCATAGATTAAATGAATAATATTGAAATTAAATTAGTGTACATGAACTTGAATAATTTCTCAACTCCTATAATAATTTAATAGCACCCAAATTATATGATTTTTAATAATTTACATACTCCTAGAATAATTTATGATAAAATGAATAATCTTAAAAATAAATACGTGTCATGAACTTAGATAATTTATTTATTCCTAAAATAATTGAATAGCTCCCAAAACATGTGTACATGAATTTGATGACTTAATATTATATTTAATATATCCATAAATAAATGTTAATTAGTATACATGCACATACATAAATAATTGAATTGTATTATTTCTAGTGTAATGAACAACCCCCAAAATATATAAAGTGTACATACATGAACTCGAAGAATTAATTGATTGACTTATAGTAAGATATATATAAATTAATGTTAATTATCATCATACACGTAAATAAATAATTGAATTGTATAAAAAGTTCATTTTTCATTTCACACAAACAGTTTTTTTAACTATTTCTTATGTTCACTAATTTTCAAATATCATTTTTACTGCGTTCATAAAGCATTTCAAAATAACGCACGTTTAGCTGTGATTAGTTTAATTAAATCTGCAAATGCAATAATTAGAAATACTAATTAGTATCCTAATAAAGTCAATACAAATCAACCAAAACTAATACATTATGTGCACGTTACTCAACATCGTTATGATTTTGAATTTTTTTTTTTTTGCATAATGTATTCCACTGAAATTTTGAAAACTAAGATTACAAACATAATTAAACCCAGTACGACAACCATTATTTTAATTTTTTTTCTACGTAGTTATTTTCAATCGTA